AGGTTCTGTGTTTCAGTAAGAACTCTTAACCACTTTGTTACCTTACTAATGCCATTCCATTGTGCACTTTTCCGGACATCACAGAATCCACCAGTTGCAAAGTTGCTCCTACTGCTAGTTTAGCACAGCGGTAAGTATTCTAAGAAGAGAAATCTCGTGATTATCATTAGCTACCCATAAACTTATTTAAATTAAGCGTAACTGATATGGTTTGCATTGCTATAGCAAATTCTCTGAAGTGTTCCCTCCCCAATTAAGTTGGAATTGCATAAATGTAACAGAGAGCAGAATTTGATAATGGAAACTGAAGTATGACTTTTACTGGAAATATTTGTGTAAATCATGCAGCATTGTGAAGCAGGAGTCATAAATAGGCAAACGGGAAGAATTATAGGAGGAAAATTTTGGTCTTGACTCCCTATTTTTATTAGTTTAAGATAAATTCCAGAACTATGCTTCATTTGGGTGATGTGGTTAGAGTGCAGATGTGGTATTGTTATGTTTGTCAATTAAAATAATTGCACTGATACTTGTATGTTCCTCATGAAAAAAACTACAATAATATTTAAACAAAAAATGTTGGCTATTTTTTACCAGCTATACAAAATGTGCTTCTAATGCAACATTGTAAACACTTATATAAATTACAACAAAGCAATGCCCTTATACCGGATGAAAGTAAACAGCATCATAATGTTTTGAGACTCTTTGGAGTTCTTCTTCATTCATTGTCTGGGTGCTCTTTATAACTTCCAAGTATTCGGAACTTTAATTAAAAAAAAGAAAGAAAGCAGGTTAACTGAATTCAGATCTGGCCTGAAAAATCTCTATTAATGCAAAAAGAAAACAAGAGTATATGATAATATAAGGGGTTGATGCAAGCCTGCGAGACCTAGAATGTCAGTCCCACATATCCAGTGGTGTTCTGGATATCAAAACTGAGATGTTGGGTCATATGAGAGTATAACAACTATCATTTCTATTAGCAACTGGTCTTAGCACAACCAAGTGTTGTTTGCAAAGCTGTTCAATTTGGAGACTGCTATCAGCCTTCATGGAGGCCTCTCATTTAGACTGTCTTCATTTATGGTGTTGTGTACCTACTTAGCTACATGCTACAGTGAAAGACTACATTCACAATTGCCATTGTGTTAGTAACCACATGTCATAGTGAAAGGTTCAGGCAGGGGAAGACTGAGGCAGCAAGGAAGCAGAACACTACACTCCCAACAACAGCAGGGTAGATATAAGAGACACTGCTTCGGTGTGTAGAGACCCTGCATAGGAGATGCACCCTGAGGGTTCCATTGTGTTGACTACTCTATTCCACTTAACTTGCTGAACCCTTGCCTCATTGTCTACACTGCTATTTAATCCTGTGCTAGCTGGGTATGCTGCATCTGTACTTAAAACACCTTCTTACTTTGCCATCCAAGGGAGAGATTATCACTTTGCAATTTGCTCTGAGAAAAGAGCAATGCAGTGATGCTCCCATCCAAGGGAGAGATTATCACTTTGCAATCTGCTCTGAGAAAAGAGCAATGCCTCAAGGGTTGATGAAGGATTGATATTGTGATTTTGAGAGTCATGGTTGGGTTCCAAATTCTCCCCTTGCTCCATGGAAGAAGGACCAGGTTTATATCTTTTGCATCTCCATGCTGGCTCAGTTGTATTTACTCCCATGTAACAAGTGCCATAGTCTCATCCTAGCTAGAGGACAGACACAGTGATGGCAGCTACCTAATAGAGATAAATATAAAGTAGTGACGCCAAAATGAAGGGATTACAGGAGTTAAGTTCACTGTATTAAAAAAAAGAGCTGACCTAAGCTCACATGAATCAGGTGTGAACATGTATAAGACATTTCAACATAAGTAAGTAAATAAATAGCTCTTATACTTTTCATCCAATTCCTTTGTAAAGGCAGTCAGTACCATTGTCTCTGTTAGGCACAGGGAAGTGAAGTGACTTGACCAGGGACAGCCAGTAGGCCAATGGCTGAGCTGGGAGTCCCAATCCATTGCTCTATCCATTAGGAAGAATAAGAATTTTACATGTCTTTTGAGGGTGGGAGGTAGTGGGTCACCATGTTGGCTTCTGACCTCTTTGAGGCCTGATTTTCTATATGTAAAAGGAACTTGGTGGTTTTATCCTGATGTAAGTAAAATCAACATTAAAAAAATCACTACACAACATAGGACAATTAAGACTGCACCAGAGCTGTGGCCAGGACCTACTGAGCTCAGGGATCGGGGCATTGTCTCTGAATATGTATGACAGAGTCCCTCTCAGGCCTACTGCAGAATTAAATGCAATACCTCTCTATTTAGTTCAATTTATCTTGGATAATTTCCTCTCTTTAACCCCCCCAATATCTTTCTATTTGATTTATACAAATTCTCATTTTTCCTGTGTTCAGTTTTTACTGGTGAAGTTGGACTAGTTTGTGTAAAGACTACTAAATTTTACATGTAAAGAGCTTCAGTTGTATGCAGTTAGTGCTGAAGACAATTGGCAATCTCTGCTAGGTCAGGACCTTTCACAGCAGCAAAATACACTAAACGTTTTTGTAAACATCAGATAGAACCTGGGTGATGTAATAAACATTATACCCAATATCACACCTGTGAACCAACATGATCTCTTCCTCAGTTCCTTCCCTGACAGGTATACGGACACATCTGTCCACAAGATCATAATGTTTAAGTTGATCATAGGAGGATAACAGTCTTTCCGGCACTTCAATATCACAGATGGGGCTACAGATAAAAAATAATTATTTAGTTACAATACAATATCAGCAACACTGTTATAAACCTCCTTCAGAGATGCATAAGATAAGATTAATTTTTCTTGTATGGGTGAATGAAAGAAAAATAATCTTTGAAAACTTTTGTTTGTAGAATGGGGGACAGCGAAGCAGACAGCAAACGTTTTTGGTTATAAAAATGTGTAAGTAAAATGGGATTTTATGTGGCTCTTAAAAAAAACAGGGGTGCAACCAACAAAGAACCCAGCCAAAAAAAAAAAATCAATAAAAATAGAGATAGAGCCCCAAGACAAAAAAGGCAGTATTACTCACAAATGGAAAACAGTATCAGAAATAAATAATGCTAAAGGCCAACAAAGAAAAAGGGGCTTTACAGCAGAATTCTACTTTGATCAAAAGCAGTAAACACTCTAGGTCCCATGAAAATGCAGCTCACAAAATGGAAATCAAGGACACCCATCAGGTCTTCTATACAGCCTTCCCACTAAAGGAGAAATAGTTGCTAATTACATCAAGGAATTAATCTTATTCACAGCCCCACTGCCACCTTGGACTCTGATAGAGGCATCAGAAAACAAGGGAAGATGGTGGCTGCAGGAGGTAGGTTAGGCAGCAATTCAAATAAAGTGGATATATCTATACATTTCTCCAATGGCATCAATATTTTTGTTTGATAGCCAACCAAAAAATTCCTTTAACTGCATACACCTTTTAGCAACCAAGAGCTGACTTAAACACTTCACTACAGGCAGTCCCCGAGTTACGCGGATCCAACTTATGTCGGATCCGCAGTTACGAACGGGGCCCTTCTTCTCCCTGGTCTCCAGCAGACCAGGGAGAGGAAGCAAAGCGGCGGAACACGCGGGCAGCGGACAGCCCAGACGCGTCTGGGCTGTCAGCTGACCGCGCGCTCCGCGGCTTGGCTCTGCTTTGCTCTGCTTTGCCCCCCCGTCCCCCTGGTCTGCAGACCAGGGGGTCGCGGGGCAGAGCAGAGCCAAGCCGCGGAGCACGTGGGCAGCGGATAGCCCTGTCCGCTGCCCGCGTGTTCCGCCGCTTTGCTTCCTCTCCCTGGTCTGCTGGGGGGTGGGGGAGCCGCTAGCTTCACGTCTCCCTGGTCTGCTTGGGGGTGGGGGAGCCGCTAGCTTCACGTCTCCCTGGTCTGCTGGGGGGAAGCAGCGAGTGCGGGGTTGCCTCACCCTGTTTGTAAGTAGGGATCCGATGTAAGTCGGATCCATGTAACCTGGGGACTGCCTGTACTTAGCTACGGGACTCATCAAATGTTTAAGATTAAACACATTCTTAAGTGCCTTTTTGGTTTAATATGTAGCAACTATAACTAATATGCAGCAGGACTGAAACAAACAAAAGGAAGTACTTCTTCACACAATACACAGTCAACCTGTGGAACTCATTACCAGGGAATATGGGGAAGGCCAAAACTACAGGCAGTCCCCGAGTTACGTGGATCCGACTTATGTCGGATCCGCAGTTACGAACGGGGCCCTTCTTCTCCCTGGTCTCCAGCAGACCAGGGAGAGGAAGCAAAGCGGCGGAACACGCGGGCAGAGGACAGGGCTGTCCGCTGCCCACGCGCTCCGCGGCTTGGCTCTGCTTTGCTCTGCTTTGCCCCCCCCTCC